CTACTGTTGTTTGTTGTTGTTTATTACAATTGTTTACCATTTTTGTTTATCTTTATTATGTAGTTTTTGTCATATTTTCTTTGTTTATTTTTTATTATGTATTGTAATTCTTGTATTACTAAAACAGATTTGTGATTTAGGATCAAGGCCAATTTTCTAAAGTTTGCAAAATACAAAAAAATATCACCGATTTTTTACAACTTCTTCTATTTCTTTACCGCTTCTGCTTTTCTTACTCAAGCTTCTTAAAAGACTAAAGATTTTTTGTTGTCCTCTTTCTCTTTACTTAGGGCTTAAGATTAGTTTCTTAGTGACTCTTGTATATTTTTGTAGTTTTTTTGTTAATTTTTGTTTTTGGAATTTTGTGTTTTAATCAGGGTTGTAAGTGATAAATTACCATCAGTAAATTACAATAATTTACCAAGTAATTTACTGAAAGTGTGATAAATTTACCTTGTATACATAGATCTATCTGTAAATTATATAATTTGATTGGCTAAAAAAAATTTTAACCATCAAATCACATGATTTATATTGCACAAACTTTGTTATTCAAAATAACTTAAGATAAATTTACAGATAATTTACCGAATAGCTCAAATAATTTACCAAAAAAATTTTAAAATTACGGTAATTTAACAACCTGGATTAATGCAAATTTTTTATTTAATTTTTAACTATTAATTTTTGTCTGTTAAGATTTTTTTGTTAGGATTATGACCTGTCAGAATTTTGCTTGATAGTATTTTGATCTGATCCATATAATATAGTAAAAATTACAATAGTTAATTTTAATATATACTAACTTAACTTTAACTATATACTGTGTATTATTTTTTTTTTTTTAATATTAAAGGTGAGATACTGTGTATTATTGTAATAATAATAATATAATTTTTTATATAAAATAATAGACTACCTAGTTAACCAAATCCTTAGCCTTCTACTATTATCATTATTTTTGCTAAGATATATAATAATACAGGCTTTTTTAGAAAGCTTATCTGATAGTTGTATTTTATCAGAAAATACAAGTTGACTACAAATATTTGTTAAAATTTGTTAATATGAATTAAACAGCCTAACTTTTTTTTTGTAAAGGTTGTTCACTATCAGAAATCCAAAGGTATCAACTTCTATCATAAACAAAAAAATATATTTATCATGTGTAACAAGAATAAAGAGTTGTATATTGCTATCTGACCAAGTTTCTATATCTATATTATCTCCTGAAAACACTAGCATTCTATGTTCAAATTCACTTATTTATCTTAAAAATATATTCTGATAGGTTACTATATCTTTTCTCTCATATCTATCTATATAAATACCTTTTTGTATTCTTTTGTATATATACTCTAGTTCTTTTAAATAATTTTTGGCAATATTAAAAGAGATAGTCAGAGATAATACAAATTCAAACTCTGGTAAGAAACTTCATTCATTTGTAACTTAAATATACATAGTATAATATTTTATTTATTTTTTCAAACATATGATTTATTTGAAAAAGAATATCTTTATCTCAAAAAAAACTCAATATTTTAGCATAGTATTCTTAGCAAGAATAGGGAATTTGATATATCATGCATCCAAGTTTAAATACATCTATATAATATACCTCTTTTTTTGCTATATTAGAGATTATTTTACTTGTTCCATTTTTTGGTAATTATTTTTTATAAGCTAAAAATAAAAATAGATATTACAAAGATATACTCAAACTTCACTATTTATATTTTCTTTTTTAATATCTAACATTAAATTTTTAAGAGCAGCTAAAATTTTTTTATACCAATTACAGATCTCAATTTCATCTTTTGAAAGTTCTCTAGCATTTTTCTCATTGACTTTCTCATTAACTTTTTTAATAACTTCCTTCAATTAACCTTCATCTTCCAACTGTTTATTATATAATTCTACTTTACTAGCTTTTTGATAAGATTTTTTTGGTTCCAAAAAGTATATAGTAGAGGGTTTCTTTTGCTGCTTTATGCTATTGCTATCTGTTTTTTCTTTTGGTATAAACTGAGTTTTCTAAATAATAAAATCTACGAGATTGGCTAGAATCATATTCTTGGTAATATATATATGTTTTTTTTTAGTATGTTCTGCTATTGTTTTATTGAGATATAAATCAAGCAAAAATTACAAGAATTTTTAACTAAAATTATTATATACTAACTACAACAAGTGACTCACTTGACTTAAAAAAGTCTAGATGCAATATCGTTTAGTGGCAGTTCATCTCCCTTCAGACCCTTAACTTACTAGAGATATAAATCTTTTGATCATTGGCTAGTATCATATGCTATATTAATATCATCTTTTCTTTTATAAAAATGAAGAGACTAATACAAGAATTAAAGAGCAAAAGAAAAAAGAAGTGATACCTTGATATCCAAATATGACAAAAACTACATAATAAAGATAAACAAAAATGGTAAACAATTGTAATAAACAACAACAAACAACAGTAG